CTTTTCAAATTACTGTGATCAGCAAATTCCACGTATCACACCGGAAATCAGGAATCTAGAAAAAATGCCAATCTATGGTTTGCTAAAATTATTCTAATAATTTTTTGACCAATCATAGATTGGCATTTTTTCTAGATTCCTGATTTCCGGTGTGAGACGTGGAATTTGCTGATCACAGTACTGTAATTTGAAAAGCACTGTAATTCGCGAGTTACGAGTAACACAAGTCCAGTCACTAAATTGGACCCGTCCAACAAAAATCCAACCGGGTGACTTACCGGGTAAACCAACGGGTTATCCAGTGATCGATGGGCTTTGGACGGATCCAATCTCTACTTGCATCAGGATGCAGACATGTATTGTGACTTAATATATTGTGGAGATTAAAATTATATGGCTATTTTGCAATTTTAGTTGGCTAAAAAATTTTTTAACAATATGGTCGGCCTGGTCGACCGGATCCGTATCACTTCGCTGACGCTCATTTCTTAGACAACATTTCATCGACAATCAATTCACTATGTTCATCTCACTGACACTAATTCACCGGTAATTAATTCATCAACAATTAATTCACCAACAATTAATGCACCAACAATTAATTTACCAACAATTAATTCGCAACAAGCTCATTTAATTCCACTGATCTTAAACATAATTCTAGTTTAACCCTAACCACAATGATCATACCACTTTTCGGTAAAGTAATTGTCGCTCTTTAAAACAGATGCCTCGTTATAGTGGACCTCTTTAAAACAGATTCCTCGTTATAGTGAACCTCTTTCAACCAGATACCTTGTTATAGTAGGCCTCGTTAAAGAGGATTTCTTTTTATCACAAGTGGTTCTTTAGAACAAATCAAACCCATTTTCAAAAAATTGTGAACAACGATTTTCATATAATTATGTTGAAAATCAGAAAGTTCTGATTAGTAAAAACTTGAAGATCTGGAAATTCCGTGATATGGTATTTACATCCGTTCATACTTTACTTAAAATTTTCATGCTAAATAATGCCATTGCAGATATTAATAATGCTATTGCGGATATTCATTAAGACCGACGGGATTTCCAAGTCCGATCAATCTTAATATCTCAAAGTTAGATTCTTTTTGCATAATAAGTAATAATTAGTTTTAATTTTCATTTGTGAATAATATATTCTTAAAACTGACTAATCAGAAGAAAGCTTATTACAGCATATAATTGATTAACTTGTAAATCAAAATTATTATCGTCGCCATAGCTGACAGCATTTATATTAGTGATAGACAAATTTATTGTGAGCTGCAATTTGACATCGATCAATATGTCATTTACAGTAGTCATATTGGCCAAATCAAACAATCATAATTGAGGATTAGATCAATCCATCTTTTATTACGAAACCATAAAAACGATCTTCTTAACAAACTTTGGGTTTCTAATTGGCTACGTAGAAAACTACGATATTTATATGTATTTTATTATAGGCCAAGAGTGAGTTAAAAAGGCTGTTTTTTTGAAAAATTGCTTCCCGAATTCGCCAATCTTAAGATATCCGAATATGTCAGCAAACGATAAAAGTATTTCTTTCTACACTTAGAATGGTTCAGCATATTTTTGGTAAACTTTACTGATTTTTCTTTGGTTTTTTGACATATTTCTTGTGATTTTTTTTGTCTTATTTGTCTAGATGCCATAAAAGCCTTTTTATTAGTTATAAAAAGTTCTTTATTTATTTTTTTTTCAATATTACTTAAAAGTAAAAATTTCGTGTAACTGTTAATCTTAAAAAAATGCCCAAAAAGTCAAATTGGTCGATATGTATTTGCAAGACAGCTAAATACAAGCTTCTGAGCAAATCACAGCTGTTTTCATAATTCCTGGGACACCTGTAAAAAATTAGCCGAATGATTTTCGGCCAGTCCGGTTGATTTATTATTTCGGCATAAAAGATCCAATAAAAATTGGTGCGTGCGTACGTACGTACCAATTTTTATTGGATCTATTATGCTGAAATAATAAATCAACCGGACCGGCCGAAAATCATTCGGCTAATTTTTTACAGGTGTCCCAGGAATTATGAAAACAGCTGTAATACATTTTATAAATGCTATTACCATATTAATATCCCCGACCACTATATCAAGATTCCGGGAGGATTAATTAATAATACCCTGGGAATCGAAGTTTCCGCTAATTCCCAACGGATCAGGATATTATTATTACTAACTCTAATGCAAATCTAATTTAATACATAATATTTATTCCTTTTACTCAACTGATTAATTAATTGCATAATTGGAATTTATATTTGAGGTTATTTTAATATATTATAAATCATGTAATGGATTACATTGTGGTTAAAAAAAATCATTAAATATTTCTAGAATCGATTCTAAAAATGAAATCAATTTTAAAAATATGGAATCGTTTTTAGAATAGATTATAACAATTAGACAGAAATGAAAGTTGATTATTGCACTTTAAAAAAGGTGCAGTAATGATATTGTGGAATTTCAAAGATTCAGTAATATTAAAAGGGGCTGTTTTTTATACCCCATATTTATTAGATCAAGTGGTTGTTTAGTTATTTTTGCTCAAAGTTTTTAAACAAAAACCCCAAACGCCTATCAAAATAACTGTGCTAAATTTCTTTAAATCTTTGACCAAAGATTTTCTATAATCACCTGATCAAATCCGATGAACCTTTTTTTATTCGAATCCTCTAGATTTCATATTGCTAAAAAAGAAAAGTTCATCGAATTTGATCAAGTGTTTGTCGAGATAACTTCGCTCAAAGTTATGAAAAAAAATTCAAAACGCCTATCAAAATAAAATTGCGGCGAATTTTTTAAAAATTTAAGAGAAGATATCTCGACAACCATTTGATCAAATTTGATGATTTTTTTCAAATAAAAAAACTTTCATCGAATTTGATCAAGTGGTTGTCGAGATGTTTTCCCTCAAAGTTATAAAAAAATTTTAAGCTTCATTTTAAATTAAGTTTTGAATTTTTTTTCAAACATTTGAGCAAAGATACCTCAACAATCACCTTATCAAAAATTTTTTATTTTGGTTATATATGTTTAGTCGATTCTAATAAAAAAAAAATTTCATCGTGTTTAGTCAGGTTGTTGTTGAGATATCTTTGCTCTAAGATCTAAAGAAATTTAAGTAATTTGATAGACGTTTTTTTTTAAAACTTTGATCAAATTCAATGATTTTTTTTATTTGAATTCTCTAGACTCAGAATTAAAATAAAAAAATTTTTTATCGAATTGATCAGGTAAGTGCCAAGATATCTTCAGGGGTATAAAAAACAGCCCTATTATAATCTGAAATCACCAGATTTCCTGTTATATTACAAACTACCCCTGCAAAAATTTCACGTCATGTGAGGACTACATAAAATAAAATGTTTGTTTGTTACAAAAATCTAACAAAAAAACTTCCTTGATCAATTTTACCATACACTCTGCTAATGTTTAACTTCATCGTAAGCACTAACCCTAACTTAAACGAACTTAATTGCAGATCCGTATGTAATCGATAGATTTTCATAGGCGCATGATTTATAATACAAAATAATATATGTATATATTTAATTATATAAAAAGATAATCATTTGTTACTTAATTTATTAATTTTACACTTATTACATGTAGCACAAATCTCAAACATGTTACTCGTATTAATAAAACCATTTATTATTTACGTATAGTTTAAAAGGTTTTATATGTAGGAAAGGAAGATTTCATATAATATTTCTTGTCAATTTCGTGTTTAAGTATATTTTAACCATACACTTGACGTTTACTCCTAGTTCCCTCAAATGTTACATTATGATCATTACTATTCTCTAACAGTGCTTTTTCTGATGCTTCTTTTTTGAAATTTGCGCTGTATCTTCCTATCCAACCTTTTATAGTTTTTACTGATGATATTTCCTCAAAAGTAAGTTCTCCATTTGCGGCTAAGTCTAAACTGGCATGCATATCTTCAGGTGAGTAACAATCTTCAGCTTTCAAATTTCCTGCTAAAAAAAAACACTGCAAGTATTGTACAACTTTTTTTGCTATATGTTTTCCTGCACCTTTTTTACCAAGTTTCATATTCTCTTTTAGGGCCCAGCCAGCATTAAAAAGGAACTCCTTTGGTTTAGGCCGCAGATAAACTAGTCTGAGTCTCTTTTCTTGCTATCGTATGATATGAAGTTTAAGGTGCAATTCTTTTCTGTATAAAAGATTTTAATTAAATTTCAATAAAGACAGAGACATGGTCTCACCATTAATATTCAAAAAAAAATAAAAAGGAACTCCTGATCCACACTATAACATAGGTTGCTTAGTATACTGAATAATATGTACCAAATGAATGACTGACAGTATAGTAATAAATATACTACCTTGAATCTTTCAATTTGATGAATTTGAATAGTTTGTGGGTAGCAAAATAGATCAAAAAAGCATGTAGTACAAATTAGTGTTCAAATTTATGCGCTTTGGTGATTTTTTTTTTTTATATGTAGGAAATGCGTACATATGTATATAATTACCTCTTATAGCATTTAACGTTTCATCTAATTCATTACAGCTAACTAAAATAAATATCAATTTATAGAATGTTTAGTACAATGAGATATACCATTCAACTAAGTCGACTAGTGATCCTCTTATATCATTTTGAACATGTTATATCAAACACTTGCACATGATAATTATAAAGAATCTTCTCAATTATTAAGAGCAAGCTTTTTTATAATATAAAGTTGATCATGGAGATTCAACACTAGAAGAATCGGTAATTATAATTATGAAATAAAGATTTTTCATGATTACAATAGCAAGTTTCTTTGTTATTGGGCTAAATTAGATATTTGTGCATATTTATGGCTTGGGTTATGTCTTCAAATACTACTATATTATCTGATCTGTTGCTTGTTTCTTTGCTCATAGATTATTCTAATAATAATAATAATAATAATAATTATTATTAATACTTTTTTGCCAATCAACTATAATGAATAAGCTTTCTTGCCTGTTTTTTTTAATAATTGGTATTGTTCAAGCGGTTTTGGGTTTAGACGGTTCAGAAAATGTTGGGGATGGTCTATTATAGAAGGTAGCAATCTGTTCAGGTCAGAAATCTGTCCACACACTTATGTGAGGAAGAGAACGAGCACGAATATATTCTGCAAATTGACCCATTATAGACAGGACCACTCAAACTATCTAGAAATGCCAGGTATAGTTTTGAATTTTTTTTGTTGACATCAGATCCTAATTGATGATTAACTTTAACATTTAGTAAAAATAATTGTACAAATATATAAGATCATTGACACAACTCGGATCAGGATATCTGACATGTCAAATAGTATAGTATGCATTGAATGTTATTTGACATGCAAATTTTCATAATTTTGACTAATAGAAAGCTAATATTAGAAACAAACTTATTTTATTTGAACTTACATTAATGATTCAGAACTTATCTCTACATTGTCTTGATCTATTAATAATGTTGATTCATCTACTATTTGCTACGATTTGGCTCTATATGCGCTATAGATGTTCTACTTAGATTCTGAAGTGCTATTTTGATATTTGTTCTGTCAGTAAGATCACACCTAGCTCTGATGTATCTTTTAATTGCATGTGCAACCTATAATTAATATCAAATTTATTAATAGAAGGTAAAAAAAATCAAATACAAAGTCTTTGCCTTGAAAATGACCTTATGAGACATTGTCCTATAAGGTTATTTTCAAGGCAAAAACCCTATATTATTCTGAATCTACTTGCTGTTGCGTGGTGAGAGTTAACAGTAGTTTTGGTCTCTTCTGGCTCAAAAAAATCTATCCACACACTTTTATGTTATATCAATTATACTAATGACTAATAATTGACATTAATTCTAAGTTATGATAGTGCTCTCTATTGTCTGAAATTATTTTAATCTAATGTGGTTTGGGGTTTATTGTCATGAATACTGCCTCAAAACATGACACCATGAACCAAGCATCTTGCTTGGTATCAGAGCTCCAATGATTATAGGCTTAAATATCTAAATTTTCATCATCTTTATTTTTTTGAAATATCAAAATCATATATAGTATCCATCCACGCTTTCTATAAAATTGGCTTTTTGTTTCCCAAGATGTTGCAGGTAAGATTCGCATTTTATAATCAACTACAATGATAGCCCCATAATCATCTAACTCTTGTAAAGTATCAAGTTTATTTATAAGGTCTTCAAATATTTTAAAAATTTGGCACACTCTTGACACTGAGAAAAATGCTGATATTCACATTCACCAAAAGCAAATAACAAACAATGATTGATGCAATTTACATGATTAGTTGTACCATTCTCATTTACATCCAATTCATTTTTATAGTACTGTTTTAGGTAATAGCACAATGTTTTAATTTCATGAATATAATGATCTTACAAAAAGTATATATTAATAAGGTAAAAACAAAAAGTTTTTTATATTTGACTAATCCATATTATTTTATTAGGAAAGTTTTTATTGATTGTTTCAATTAAATCCTCGAATGGTTGATAACCATAATCATTGCATGTTAGGCACAATTCTCCTAAGTCTTCTCAATAACAAAAACAGCTATTTTGTAAGTGGCCCATGAAGGAAGTGCGTCTTATTCCATCAGGATATATAGCGGAAAACTTTTCCCAAAGTACATTTTTTTGATCCTTCAGATAAAGAATAAATAATTGTGTTTTTGTATCAACTTTGTAAGAACTCATATTTACATTGTCTTTATTACTAAAAAATAATTCAAACTTTTTTTCTTTAATTTCAGACATTTTTTGACGAGTAATTACAGGTTTTTCTAATGAAATACATTCAGGTCCATTGATATGAGAAAACTGTCATGCAGTATTGATACTATTGGGTGATATCTAAGTTATATATAATTTATTTAATACCATTACAACCTATAACTTTATTAATCATAAAACATACTTTTAATTTATTCGTTATTTCTTGATATATAAACCTTTCTGCAATTATTAATAGTATGCGCACTTTACTATTTGCTCCTTTTGAATTTGCATTGTAACTATCATGGAAGCAATCTCAAAATGCTTTGATAGTTAAAGCTTGTGGAGATATGTTTAAAATTTCTTCTTCATATAGATTCTTAAGTGTATCGCAGTCTTTATTAGGATTACATCAGAAAATTTTTAAATAAGGTATATATCGATTACCATCGGCAGGGGTAATTGGCATCGATTTATATCGATTATAATCGGTTGTAATCATTTAAATCTAAATGATTGCAATCGATTGTAATCAATGCTAATCGATTACAATCATTTAGATTTAAATGATTACAATCGATTATAACCGATATAAATCAATGTCAATCACCCCTGCCGATGGTAATTGATATATGCCTCATTTAAAAATTTCCTGATGTATGTGTGTTTGTCTAATATTCATTCTATATATATATACAGTATATTTTTTTTAGCTTATTAATTCTTTGACTTATAATTAGAGCTTCATATTCGTATTCGTTATTTGAATAATATTTGTATTCAGCAATTGAATAACATATCTTATTTGAATAAACAATTTTTATTCAAATGATTCATGTGAGACTTCAGTCATTAGCTGATTTATACATAGTAATAGCAATGATATATGCTTCATATCTAATAACTATATATTATTCGAATAAATATTGCTTATTCGAATTCTGTTAGTCATTTGGTGAATATTCAAATATTTGCTGATCTAAATTATTCGAATATGAGCTCTACTTATAATAATGAATTTTTATATTATCTGTGAGTTATGTAAGTACTGCTAAAAGAAATTTATATATCAGGTTTTTGAATTTATTATTTTTCAGAATTGATTTCAATTAGTAACTAATATGCAATCAGATAAGTCCGATAAATTATAAATCTGAAACCTGAGGTTTGATTTCTTCTAGTAGTGCTTATATAAATACGATTAAAGAATACTTGAACTAACATTAATTTATTAAATTTTTATTTATCATGGCTAGGTTAAAATAGCAACTTATCATATTTTACTGCATAAACTAGCTAAGGTTTCTTAAATCCATCTAAGAACCAATTTAGACTCAATGATCTATAAGAATGAAGGCCTATCATTAAGAGGAGTCTTGTATGTTAAACCTAAAAACATATATTATATAGACCCGGGTTTCTTATTTTTTTTATCTTAAATCAAACATAAATATCAAACCCGGTCTACTACTATCAGGTGTTTATGCAGTAAGGTATGGTAGGTTGGTAATGATCAGATTATGTTATGATCAGATTATATTATAACATCGATAATTTCATGAGCTATTTTATATTACAGGTTTTTTTTTTTGATAATTACCTTAGAAATTTGTTTGTTATACGGAATAATATTTGTGCATCTCACTGCACAAAAAATTGCTCGTCATGCCCATGCTTCATGTTCATGAAGTTCATGATCCAAACTATATATTTTACTAAGGTGGGTATGTAATTCAATAATATTGCTTTTTTGTTGTTTCCAAATTTGAAATACCCAATACCATTCTTCGATGGATTTACCAACAACTTTTTTTAAATGTAGATCAAATAAATGTTCCATGATCACCTTGTTGTCCCAATCTGCTAATGTACATTTATCAGGTATTAATGTTTGCTGTGAAAATTTGGTTTGATATACTTGATCAAGTTTTTGTAAGGTTAATGAGTAGTTTATAGCGAATAAAGTATTACCTAAAATAGATTTTAGCATACCAGTTTTTTGCCAAACAGCATTGGGTGAATTATCATTATATTCTACTATGATTTGACTGTCTTGATATATCGCAATTGAATATGAGCCATCATTCTTTATACTTTGAAAAAAAAACTGATTGCTTCGCTTTGTATTTATAAAATAATGATGATGTATAATTATGACCAATTGTTTTTTGATTTGAATGTGTAATTTTACCAAGAGAACCAATAAAAATAGATAGATTTTTTATTTCAATAATAAAGGGATAAAAAACAACGCCTTCTAATAATTTTTGTGATGTTTTGGTTTGTTCTAAACTAAGTATGAAAAAGACCTGCGAATTTTGTCTTAGTGCCAAAAACAGCTTGGTAAACAGAAGTAATTGCCATAGAAGAACTTGTAACAATGCCACTACTTTTCCCAGTGCCTTCACATATATAACCAGGCTGTAAGTGATTATGCATATAACGAACAACACGAATAATAAAAGACTTCTTATTAAGCTGTATCATAATCTCAAGTCCAAGACGTATTGGAATTGGAGATGATATATTTTGATTGTCTTTAGAAAAGATCCACCAATCACGTAAGTATGGGCCATAGTGAAGTTCTGGCTCAATAGTCCCAGTAACAACAAGTTCTCCTGGAGTTATATGAATATTAGTCATTTAGTTTCTTGAGGAAATAGAGATTTCAAATAATCATTTTTTTTATTTTAATTATAGCGCCGCAATTTACTATATAATGTCTATTGATCACATGCGGATCTGCAATTAAAGTTTTTTTGTGCGATATTTCACTGCATGTGACAGTGAAATTTTTGGTGGTGACGCCCATGATTTACATAACGTTAATGTATCGGTATTATTTGGGAATTCCGTTTCCTAAGCATTTTCTGGACTTATATAATCATATATGCGGACAATTCCCCTAAAGCATGATACTGTCTTGCAAACCATAATTATGATTAAAACTATTACAGAATCAATTCTAACTTTACACTATGCTAACCATACATAAGTTAATATATATAATACAGTATATTGGACGACGCTTTTTACAAAAATGAATCATATAAAGCAAGTTTCATTTAGATATATATATATTGAATCAATTTGCATAATAATTTTTTTTTAAAAAATTTTACCGATACCTTTTTTTAAGTTATACTAACGCTAATAATAGAATTGTACAAAGAATTAGATACGTAATGTTCTTTCAAAGTTGGAAAAGCTATAATCTGTAACTCTATTAGGCCATATAAATACACTCTTCGAAAAATGATATGGTTTAGTTAACAGATTTTGACTGAACCATATATTATTACGAAGTAGTCTAGTTGCGTACTGTATACTCTCTAAATGAATTAAAATTTTTGATTTTAAATTATTAACATAAAAATGGTTCTTATGACTTAAATGTATATACTGTTTATATGCTTAAAACAATTATTAAATAATCATAACTTTTTTTTAAAAGTTAAAAGAGTCTGACGGATGGCATAAAATTAGACAGTATCGACTGTATAATTTTAAAAACTGCTTACATATGTTGTCCGTTTTGGGGTTGATTATATCATATTTACAACCTAACCCTAACCCTAATCTAACTAGGAAATTCCAAATCCACTTAAACTCCATTCCCACTTACAACATATGTAAGGTCTAAAGTACGTCATTACTGTACAGTGTTGCATACAGTTCCCCCTTGAAGGAATATCCCCTTTAAATAATATCAATAGTAAATTCTAACATTTTGGAAAGTATATTGGTACTAATCAAGTAGTAATTTATTACATCATGATATATTCCCTTGTATAGTATTCCCCCTTTTACAGGGGCATTATTTAATTAATCTTGGCCTTTTTGTAACATATATGGGGCATTGTATGCAGCGCTGTAATAAAAGTATACAATATTTATTCAATAACGCCTTAGGGCGTCGTCATTTAAAGACATGCGATTTGAGGAGAGCTAGTGACCAATTAGTCAAAGATTTTTAATAATAAATTTATGATCGGATCTGTATCGTTTCACTGACACTCACTTTACCGACATGCCGATTCATCGACAATCAATTCTCCGACAAGTTATTTCACCAACAATTATTTCACCGACACGTTTTTTTTGAAAGTTGCACTAACCTTAGTTCTAACTCTATACCTGTCCCTAATTACAATGGCCAGAATTACTTTGTCGGTGAAATAATAATCTTGTGATGAATTGATTGTCAGTGAAATGGCATGTCGGTAAAGTGAAATCAACGGAATCCGCCATGGATAGTTTGATAGACATAAATTACGATGATCAACTTAACGTTAAATTAAAAATGAACAAATGGATGTTGTTTTTACTATAAACCGTTTTTTTTTTTTCAGACTTGTCTTAAAATATGTCCTTTTGATTAGTAAAAATGTAATAATCAAAAATTAATCCTTTACTTTATAGATCTAAACTCAAACCATTTTGTAATAAATTAAGGGGTCGTAATAATTAAACTATGGTGGTAAACCATTGCAAATCGGACCTTAAAAGGCTAATAACAAATGCATTATATTACGTTTAATGCAAAACCGAACTTTAAGCGATTATATAATATTACGTATGAATTTAATTTTTGATGTAATCACTGGTATTTATTTATAAGAAAAATGTAGCGCCTTAAGATAGGTGTTCAATAAAATGCTTTTTTCGGTTCCCTCAGACAGAAATGTAAAGCTTGGCTATGCTTTGAGCAAAATGTTACCTATCCATGAAGGCATTTTATATAATTAAAATAGTGAATTATAAAGGTGGGATTTGATAGGTGGATGGAGATTTAATATCGTATGCGAAAGTTTATAACTATATTAACCTTTTTCAAATATCTGACGATTAAATAAAACAAATTTCAAACAAACCACTAAATCCTATACTAATTCATGAACACATAATCATGTAAGACCAAAAATAAACGAACAACTAATAATTCGCATTCTTGTGTTTGACGTTTTTTATCCACTGCACCTCTTTCTAGTCATCGCATCTATTTGTATCAACGATAATGTCGATACGTAAAAAATGCTGAATTACACTAAATTAGGTATATAAAATGAGAATGGTTAAAATCTTTAGCCATAAGTAGTGTTGCTTGCTGCAAATATGAAGTGAAACTTTTTTTATAGCGCAACCTATTGTCGAAATAGAATGTGACATCGGTAATATAGTATTTATGACTTATCTTAAGCTGTAAAAATTAAGTTGCGCCTTTGCAGCAATCAACAATAACCATAAGCCGGGATAATTACAATAGTTAGAATACGCATAGTTAGAATATGCCATATGCAGCAAGTTAGAATAATACGCTTAGTTAGAATATGCCATATGCAGCAAGTTAGATTACGTCATATGCAGCATATCTAGAATACTCCATATACAGCATAATTAGAATCATTCGTAACCAATTCCAGACCATTCTCTCGACAATTATTTTCATCGATAACATTCACCAATAGCAAGTATTTCAGTGAAGTGGCTTTCGTGAAATCGTTTCGAATTTGCTGACTCCAATATTATTAGTGCCAAGATTTAACGAAATTAAAGTATTATTTTTATAAATGCCTTTGCTAATGTTTCCTCCTACTGATCCAAGGTAATTGTGAAAAAGACTTAATGAAGTTAGAGTAGTGTTCTTACAAAGAACTTCTGTTACATAATTAGAAAGATTTTCTGCCGTAAATTTTGTATATAAGTACAGGCATCTTAATTTGTATCAATGCACAAATGCATGTCTTACGTAAGTACGTACATACTGACTATGGTGTGGGAAAAAGATTTTCTGCCGTATCAATGCACAAATGTATGTGCGTACGTAAGTACATAATGACTATGGTGTGGGGAAAACAATTTTCCTGAATTACTCGGTCTTGAGAATTTCGGATGGTTTTATGGTACTTTTGGAAATTTTGCCGATGGCGCCATTTACAACACTTGGTAAATGTACATTTGTATGACTAAATTTTTTAGGATGAAGTGTATATTATATGTAAACGAGAATTAATTAAAAAAAAACTGGATACATTATTGGTTGGTTTATGATGTATAGCGTCATTTGCAGTGCTGCTTTACCGACAATCATTTCACCGACAGCCGACATCGCGCAATGTGACAATTTAGCATTCTATTCATTGTAGGTATAAATGTTAGTAAATTTCGCATGGCGTGATCTCGGCTAAATGACCGTCGCGAAATTATTGTAGGCAGTTATCTAGCATGGGTGCCGATAGAATTTCCTTAAAAATTCATTGAGATCTACTAGATGTTTGTATTGGTACGTACTTTGCAATCAGGGATGCCAGCACTGGCCAAGATTTCAAAACGTCGGAAATTAGCTAATTAATTTGAAATGTTTAATTATTCACTAAATTCCAAAAGGAAAGATTGAAGTTAGTAATTGACTGCGACTCTTCTATAAAAAAATTAAAGAAAACTGTACGTTCATTGGTTAGAACTTTTGAAAAAAATAATTTAAATAAATGCGGTTAAAAATTTCTCTTTAACTTTTTTTGCTCGAATTTATTTAATTACCTGACCAAAATTCTTTCTTTTTTTTTTTTTTGGTTGTTTTTTTTTTTACCCCTTAAACCTTTATTTTTTTAACTTTCTTTTCCTTACTTCTGGCAAGATTCCTTTGTTAACAATTAATACGACAATGTACACAACTACAGTAGTTATTCTATATTGCCTGTTATTTTTTTCATTATTAGGTTCAATATATGTCACTTTATTTTTATATCGTTCTAAAAAAAATTATTTGATTGCATTATATTCAGGTTCTGTTTCACTCTTTTCAATTAACATATTTCTTAGTATTATATGGAAAAATGAATTAGCGAAAGCACCTTATTCATTTTGCTTTTTCCAAGCGATTTTTGTAAGTTTCTTTGTATAATCATAATTCCGATTCTAAGTCGATCACTTTAATTAGCAAACATTAAATACTGGCTATTGGACACTTGCGAAAACGAGGGCTTAGCTTGTATACAGCACGTAATATTATTTATCATTCGCTAATTCGGTGATCTTGACTTAGTGATTAGTCCTGTGACTTTTATTTGATCATTGTTAAATATTTTACCGAATTGTAAATCTTAATTTTTAATAATATTAAAACAGTTACAATATAATGCCATCTTCCAAATGGCTTGCGCATTTTGCTTTGCGGTACAAACATACGCACAACTCGTCCTTTATCATCAATCAACTACAAATACATTAAAGAAATTGTTTAGTTGTTTTATAATAATATATCCGGTTGTTATGACAATCATTCTCATTGTATTATCAGTGCGGTTTAATACTGTCAAACCAAGGCGCTTGAATTGGTATTTTTAATCTCTATTTATTTAACAATTGTTCTTTTCTTATAATAATGTTTTAATCTTCATTATAATTTTATAATAATTTTCTCTATAATTTAGCGACGTTGTTGAACCCGTTTGGATTAGATTATTTAGTCTGTCTGGCTTTAATCAGCTTCTTAGTATTCCAGGAACATACTTCAGCGGTAAGTATTTTGTAAATTTATAATTTAGTCTATTCATTTTATTTTATTTTATAAATTCTATAATTTGCTATATTTTTTTATTTCTTGTAGCCCGTGCTGCTTATGCATTATATAACCATATGGATCAACTTAAAAAGTCGTCCAATCATACTTCTTCTACTGAGCATGTAATCAGTCAAAATGATCAAGATAATACTTATCAAAAATTTTCTAGAGATCCTTTTTCCAAAAGAGGCAGGTCTTATAATTTAACAAAAGCTGCTGCTATTAGAATGGTTACCTTTTCTTCTTTATTTGCATTCATAAATTTGTTGGCTTGTATACCAAGCTTTTTAGCTATTATGAAAAATCAACATGTTGAAAAAGAACCTGGCGCTCTTGATTTCATTGGTGTAACTCTTGGAATTTATATATTTCTCGTTTTTGGGTGGCCACATAATCTCCAAAAGGTTAAGCAAGTTTGGTTAAATGGATAATGGTTGGGTTATATTTGTGGATTTATTTACATCTTTTTTATGTATATGTACATACTTTTTGGCATTCTTGTGATTGTGTGGCTTATTATTATCATTGTTTATTTTTTTGATAAATAAATTGATTTCCTTGAGATCGTGCATAATACGCAGTATCATTTGATTTTTTTTTTTTTGATTTTTTTTTCATTGACAATGCACGAAATATAATCCGTTTTTGAAATCTGAACCTGATGTTTGACATTAAGACCAATCCAAAATTAACAGTTTGGCGTTTGTGTGAAGATCGTCGAAATTTGATTAGGAGATTTTTGCTTGTACGTACGTACGTATCCGGACATATAACTATATATAGTGTTAAGGTTTGCACATTAGACCGTGTGAGGCTAGCGTGTTATGCAGAAACCACATCTAATAGAAATCTAAATGTATACAAGTCCTAGTGGCCAATTAATAAAAATAATGCGTGCCTAAAAGCTCCTGATTTATATAAAGTATTGTTACCTCGAGAGATTACGTCACTTGACTTCGAAGATGCATACCGAAAATGTGTGCTCCGGATAATCATGTAATAACCCGACAATTACTTGGTCGACTTTTCTAAATTCTAAAGATATAAATTTATCAGAAATCTTTGGTTTCGCTAACAACACTAATATACGATAAAGTAATTGGCGTATAACGTTCTAAGATTACGGATGTTACCCATACTATGAATTATTATTGGCTAATTATACATATGCAAAAATGATCGGGCCGGTCGGGTTATAGTTGGCGGTAGAATTACTGAATTACGGCATTACGGCATTTTACCAGTTGGTAGAATTAATTACGGCACAGTACCTGATTGCCG